AAAAGCTCCCAGCACGTGTCTATTATGATGCTCAGTGATGCTGCTGTCTCTAAAATGAGGGAGTGGGGAAAGGCTTAGCAGCTAAGACCTCTGAGGTTTCCTTTGCAAAGATGAGTGATTATTCTCAACCCCCCATCCCAGTTTAGGTGTGTCGGGTGGGAAAGCCCGGAGTGTTCTGGGCTTTCTCAGGCTGAGCTGTTGCCTAGTCACAGGGTTTATGCCTCAGGGTATGTGGGTGGGAGGTGTGACTGTGTGGCTGATTAGGTCTGCTGGGTCTGTCCAGCCATCTGGTCAGTAGCTGCGTACATATCCCAGTGATGTCTTGGGGGAAATGCAGTGCCTGCCCTTGTGTCCCCAAGTCTCCAACCAAAGGAAGTTTCAGGTTTTTGGAAACCCACTACTGACTGGCTCAGGGAGCAGTCTTCTACAGTAGGCACTTGGGCGGGGCCACCTCAGCAGTGCTGTGCAGTCTCCTTCCGGCTGCCCTGGGGCTGGGTTTCTGGGTATCTTCCTTTCTACTCTGATGTTTGCTTCTCTAGCTTCCTCCAGCCACACGCTGTGACCATGGACAGGTGCTCTAACCTTTCTAAGCCAATTTCTTCAGTTAACATGGGCACATTGGTATCTACCTTGTAGGTAATTAGTTCCTTTTTTGTTCCCTCACATGTTTTCTTCTTTAATCCTTTATAACCCCCCCTCCTTTTTTTTGGTACTGGGGATTGAACTCATGGGAGATTTACCACTGAACTACATCCCCACCCTTTTATTTATTTTTATTTTGGGACAAGGTCTCTGTAAGTTGTTTAGGGCAAGACCTGCTGAGGCTGGCCTTGAACTTGCTATGATCATCCTGTCTCAGCCTCCCAGGGTTACTGGGATTACAACCTGTGCCACCATGCCCTGCCAAATTTTGTATTTTTAACTTACATTCATTTTGCCTCTTGGAAACATTGTACCCTCTGAACAAACTCTCTCTCCTATTTTGTTTATTTAATTATTATTTTTTTAAATTAAATGCACACCAGAACTGTATCTGTGAGGAGCTCTTAGCCTTTTACTAACTTGCTTTCCATGTTATGAAGGATTTTATTCAAATATGCCAGTGATTTGTTTCTTCCTTCTTTTCTTTCTCTCTTCCTCCTGTCTCTACTCACCTCCCAGGGAGAGAGGATACATAAATCCAGCAACTATAACTTGAAAGGTCACTATGTCTAATACTCAACAAACACTGAGTTAACTGAGGGTATGAGCTTTGTTGTAACAATTCGAATTAAAAGCAAAATACAAAACTCCCAGGATGTACTACTGATCATTTTCAATTTAAAGGCCCAAAGCTTAGGATTCATTTCCAGGATGTAAGTGCCACAGAGTTTGAAAAGGAAAGTGCAGTCTAGTTAAGGGAAGGGAGTTATTTTATGACATTACTCCTCATTTACATAGGACTTAGTGGGAGAGGTAGTTTTTGCAAGGCAGTGGGAAGGGCCAGGTTCCTGCACACAGGTGACCCATGGTACCTGGGCCAGCCTTGTGAAGCCGGGTCTGCAGGTAAAGTGTCTACAGGTTACAGAGCATGGTGATGCATACACTCCCCAGGGCAAGGCCTCCTCTGGACTATTTCTGTGATGCATGGCTCCAGAGCAGGTTCAGGCAGGTGGGGAATGTGGTCTGTAGGGGATCTGTGTAGAGCAGCCACCTTCAGGGACCCTCTGTTTAGGGGTTAGAGGTTCTAGAGACCTAGTGAGAGATGATATGATTGAAAGGATTTTAAAAATATGAAGGTGGCTGTGGGGTCCAGGAAAGACCTGAGAGAGATAGTGACTAGGTCTGGTGATACCAGCTTAAGACCCTGCTTTTGGCTCAGTGCTTTAGAGGACCTTGTTTTTTTCCCTTCCTTCAATGATACCCCTCCCTATGTGGTGTCCTATAGAGCAGGGAATCTAAGAAGCCTAGCAGACATACCCTCCTACACTAGTGGCTCTCAAAGTGGGATTCCCTGGACCTGCAGAATCAGCACCACCTTGGGGCTCATTAGAAATGTACCTCAAACCTCTGGGGCCTGAGATAATTAGCATTTCTAATGTTTCTCTGTGATTGTGTTGTAGATGTAGGGACCATTGCAGGATTAGCAGCTTTGAAAGCCAATATTCTAGACCAATCTCTAGATACTTGGGCTACAAAATGCTTGCACAAATATCCCTGAGACCACTTCCAATACCTGGAGGGCTTCTTTAGCAGGTCTATCCTCCCAAGAGAGAACCATACTACTGTTGTGTATGTGTGTCTGTTGAGCTGGGATGCAGAGATCTGTGGGCTAAGGGTCCACATGCATGTAGGTGAGGTCCCTGGAAGTGTGGGATGCTACTGGAATGGGAAGAGTCAGGAACAGGATGGAAGTGGAAGGCTCCATTTGCATTCCTCTCAGTGTCTTTGAAAGGGTAAATGTGGGCTGGTCTTGCTAGAAAGATTATTAGAAATCCCAAGGTGGTAGAATCAGTAAGTGCCTTTTGCTACAGATGCTTGCCTCAGTTTTGATTCGACCACGCACTAACCATTTATCAGCCCACACTTTTTAAAAAATGATAATAAAAGCAAGCTGATCTATCCATGTTGCACGGGAGAGAAATTATCTCTGACCAATGCTCTCCAGTTGGTGACAGACTATCTCAAGAGTTTCCTAAACAGAGATGGAAATGACTTCCTAAGGGAGGTCAGGTTTTGTTCCTATCATGTAATGCAAATATCGTTTGGATTGTGTTCTCCTTCCCTAAAACTCTGGCCACTATTGGCTGCCTCTAGATTCCAATACCTGGACTACAGTGATGAGGCACTGGGGCTTAGGGACTAAAAATTCCAACTCTGGAACTAAATAGACTGAAAAATGGATCTCAGCATCACCATATCCTGACTTTGGATAATTAATTTCTTAAAGACTTGGTTTTCCCATCTGTAGTATGAGAACCATACAAATACCTTATACAACATAATACCTTATAAAACTGAAGTTAATAAAATAACAATTAGAATCATGCCAGTCCTCACAACATTTAACTTGTACAGCAAATGCCTGAGGGTTGTCCCTGTCATCACAGCCCTCACTGGTGGGTTTAGGGGGGAGGTATGGAAGTGAAGTCTATGGCAATAGATCCAGAAATCTGGGCAATGGCTAAGCATAGTCAGTCACAGGTTTCTCTTAAGAAGAAAGTATGCTGAATTCCCCCTGATGTTAATGTGACCCTGGCTGGTTTGAAGGTCTTGGCTTCCATAAATCAACTGCCTCTAGCAGCTTTTCCCTTTTCACCTCTCTTACCCTTCCCGCAGCTCTGTCTCAGGTCAGGGCATGTGTGTTAGAGAGGGGCATCGGGTCCTGCAGTCAGCCCAGAGTGCTGACTGGGTGTGGCTGAGGCTCCAGAGCCCATGGCCCTGGGCTACATCTGGACAGGCAGTGAGGGTCGGATCAGGACCCAGTGACACTTTTACTATTGAAATCGACCCAAACTTTACTAGCTTCTGGGGAAAGCTAGGGGCTTTGGGGATTTTTGTATTTGCTGGGTTGTAAATATTTTATGGGAAGGCAGCCCAGGAAAATCTGGTTAGCTTTCCGCTTTGCACATTGAAGTGGGTTGGCTTCATGCACAAATGTGTCAAAAAGGAGTCCAATTTTGTCTTGGTTCAGAAGAATTTACCTTGGATTTTTAAAGCCTGCTGCCCTCTATATGTCCCAAATTTCTTTTTCTCACTTGTAACAACAATAACAACAACAAATTGTCTTCAGGTCTAGCTGCAAACCAAGGAAAATTCATATTGGGTGTAAGGAAAGGAAGGGGGGGATATCACTCTGTGTGTGTGTGTGTGTGTGTGTGTGTGTGTGTGTAATTGTACATGGTTAAGGCTTTCTTCTTCCATGTATATCTATTTCTCATTGACTGAAGGTACTTCTCAATGAATATCTAGTGTGCATGTTGGTTTACTCCCTCCCACCCCAGCCATATTTTTGAAAGCCTCACTACTTTTATTTGTTGGTAAGGAAGGAAGGAAGAAATGAAAGAAAGAGAAGAAAGCAGCTCTTCCTCTGTCTGCAATGTTTTGGGCCTAAATGCCTCAGCAAAACTGCCCGATGGCAGCAATGTGACCCTGAACTTGGGGAGGGGGGGGCGTCTGCAGTTAGGATTGCATCTTTAAATCACCTTGGAAATTAAAAAGAAAAGAAAAGCTGTCAACAAACATTCAAGAACCACACTCCCAGGACCTATCTTTAGATAAGGGGTTCAATTAGCTGGAGCAAGGTGGAGCACTGGTACTTTTAAAATTCTCCAGAAGATTCTAATTGAGCAACCAGTTTGAGAACCTTTCCCTGTAAAGTTTCACACTACTGACCAGCGTGTACTCTAGGTCATCCAGGGGTCCAGGTGATGTGTGGAGCAAGATGCAAGTGAGGGTTGCAACCCCTTTGGCCTGGCCAAATGAGGAGGGGTATTGGGAAAGACAAAGAAATAAATATAAACTGGGTAATTTTACATAATGCTAAACGTAAGGTAATAAACCAAGCCCTGGGATAGTGACCAAAAGAAACTACTTTAGATTAAGGTGGTCTGGGATGGCTTCTAGGAGGAGGTGACATTTGAGATATGAATGACAAGGAGAACAGCGGTGGGAGAGGAGGACTGGGGAGGAAGCACAGCCCAGACTTGCGACCACAAAGGGCACATTAGTGGTTACGCAGCCTCTTGGGGAGAAAACCTGGGAGGCCGCTGCTTCAGCCAGATTGCCAGCAGCCACTGACTTCTGCCCTGGGAGCTCAAAGCTGACTAGGAGGAGGGGGCTTGTCCTGGTGTGTCCCCTTCCCATGCCGTGCACGGTTGGGGCGGGAAACCGGGGAGCCGCCCGGGTCAGTTTAGCTGGACTGCCCTCTCCCCGCCTTCTTCCTCCTGGGGACGGCCAGGGAGCACCGGGCTGATCTCCCCCTTAAGTGAAACTGACTGTAATTATTTTTTATCTCGCAGACGATCTCTCGCACACTCCTCTCCGGAGACAGAAGTATTTGTTTGATGTGTCCACGCTCTCAGACAAAGAAGAGCTGGTGGGCGCAGAGCTGCGGCTCTATCGCCAGGCGCCCGCAGCGCCCTGGGGGCCTCCCTCAGGGCCACTCCACTTGCAGCTCTTCCCTTGCCTGTCGCCCCTGCTGTTGGACTCGAGGACCCTAGACCCGCAGGGGGCGCCCCCGGCCGGCTGGGAGGTCTTCGACGTGTGGCAGGGCCTGCGCCACCAGCCTTGGAAGCAGCTGTGCTTGGAGCTGCGGGCCGCGTGGGGCGAGCCAGACATCGGGGAGGTGGAGTCGCGCCCTCGGGGACCCCAGCAACCGCCGCCCCCGGACCTGCGGAGTCTGGGCTTCGGCCGGAGGGTGCGGTCCCCACAGGAGCGCGCCCTGCTCGTGGTGTTCACCAGATCCCAGCGCAAGAACCTGTTCGCTGAGATGCGCGAACAGCTGGGCTCCGCTGAGGCTGCGGGTCCCGGTGCGGGCGCCGAGGGCTCGTGGCCACCGCCGTCGGGCGCCCCGGACGCCGGGCCTTGGCTGCCCTCGCCCGGTCGGCGGCGGCGGCGCACGGCCTTCGCCAGCCGTCACGGCAAACGGCACGGCAAGAAGTCGAGGCTACGCTGCAGTAAGAAGCCCTTGCACGTGAACTTCAAGGAGCTGGGCTGGGACGACTGGATTATCGCGCCCCTAGAGTACGAGGCTTATCATTGCGAGGGCGTGTGCGACTTCCCGCTGCGCTCGCACCTGGAGCCCACCAACCACGCCATCATCCAGACTCTGATGAACTCCATGGATCCCGGCTCCACCCCACCCAGCTGCTGCGTGCCCACCAAATTGACTCCCATCAGCATTCTGTACATCGACGCGGGCAATAATGTGGTCTACAAGCAGTATGAGGACATGGTAGTGGAGTCGTGCGGCTGCAGGTAGCGGTGCCTTTCCTGCCGCCTTGGCCCGGGACGCAGGGGAGGCCTGACTGCAGAGAGCAGGAGGAGGAAGCTGGCCTTGGAGGAGGCTGCTGGGTGGGGTGGGGGACAGCCTGGACGCGAGAGCGAGAGCGGGTGCAAGAGAGAAGGGAGGGAGCACAGCTTTCCCAGAAACTTCCACCTGCCAGCCCAGAGGGAGATATGGATTTTCACACCTTGCCTGGCCACCCTGGAAAAACAAGCCAAGGAGTTTATTTGTGTTATTGTTGTTGTTTCTCTTTATTTTTGTGGCTTTGGATTTCCTTGTGTTTCTCCCAGGTTTTGATAGGAGGTAGGGGGAGGGGAGATGCATACCCATTTCTCAATTGCTCCATGGATTGAAAAGAATAATAGTTTAAAAAGGGAAACTGGAAGGAAGAATCACCCACCTTTGAACATATCTTGGTTTGGTTGTTTCTACTTTTGTAAAGAAGGTGGGGGTCTTTCCAGCCATGTCACAGCCCATGCCTTGTGACCTCCCAAACAGAAGGTTTTAGGGAATTGGCAAATGGAATAAGAAAGTCAGAAAGGGTTCTGCCTTGAGTGGAGCTTTGAGAGTGGTTGACCCAAGCGTCTTCGCTCCCTTGTATATTCCCATGAATTTACCAGTTCTGCCCTGGCCTCTTCCAGCACTGGGCATTGGGTACCTCCATCTCACTCCTGAGGGCTCAGGTCACTGGATGTCTTTACTGTTGCTTTTTCTGGTGGGGGGAAAAGGGAGCTGGTATGGATGGAATGACAAGAATTAGTCCATATGGAACCCCCTGAAGGATAATGAGAAACCACAAGGCCTTCCTCTGACAGGGCTGACACCAAGGTCCATTAGCCCAGGCTGGAGGTAGCCCACCCAAAAGCTCTTGGTGATGTCTGTTTCTAATTGATTTCTTTAAAACAGAATTTACCGAAATTCAAACATTTCCTTCTAAGGGGAAGGTGATTTCCTAATTAAAAAAAAAAAAAGTAGGTAGGGGTGGAGAACTGTATTATTAATGTAAGAAGCACAGAGGAGGGGGAAATAACCCAAGAAGTACAAGGGCTACATGGGGAGGGGAGATGGTTGGCCCCACAGGAGGATGGGATAAAGGGCCAGGCCTGGAGCAGGGAAGGAAAGGATGAAAGGGGACGAGACCCCCTGTCTCTGAAGTTTCTTAACATCTATGTTCCCTCCCCTCTCTCTGACATTCCTAAAAGATTACCAGCCAGCAATCGCCCAGGGCTCCCCCAAAAGAATTGTTTTAGATTGTAATTACCAGTTAGGCAATGTTTTTAAAACTTAGTAATGAGAAACTGTGAAAAGAGCCAAGTGTTACATTGAGCTTGGGGTGGGAGATTGGGGAACAGGCTGTAAAGGAGGGAGGCAGGGGTGGAATTCATCTTCCGGAAGGAAGCAGGAGAGAGCACACAGAGAAACTGAAATACCCATTCCCAGGTAGTCAAAACCGTGAACTTCCCCCCAGCCTGCCCAGTACTATTTTCAAATACTGCCCCTGAGAAGGCCCTTTGAAGAGTGAGCTCCTCATCTTTGACCATGAAATGGTTTAAATGGGGGAACTTGTACCAACTATTAAAGAACGTTTGGGGTTATCCTAAGTGGTTTGCTCTCTCCCCATTTAAACCTGTTGCTTATTTGGTTCAGAGAACTACAAACTGTCCAAGAATGGGTGAGAATGATAATAAATGCTAATATAAAACGCTAAGAAAATAAAAAAAGGACTTGGCCAGGAGAAATAATTTAAAATGCACATTTGCTTTGGATGCACTGTTGTTCTGATAAGGCTGTATATATTTGTTTATTTAAGGTGACTGAAAGTGCAAAGAGGAAATGGACAGCATGCAATTCATCTTAATGTACAAAACGTTATATGCACTCAAATGTTATAATTTCTAATATTTTTAAAGTTTATATTCGAGTTGTACAAAGTTAAGCATTAATCAGATATTTCATTCTTTCATAAAGTTATCATTTTCTTAAATATTATTACAAAATTTTAAGTCTGTCTAATGGAGAGTTTTCTTTTAAACTGTCTACCTCACTATAATACAAATATTTACAACACTAAAGTTACCAGAGGTCAATTAATATTCAAAACATTTTTATAGTACACCTTTCCTGGATGATATACAATCTGATTAATACTATATTATTAAACTCATTTCCCCCTTAATAACTCAGCCTGGTTTATATGCATCTGTTTACAGAAGTCATTTTCTCAAGAAATTATTGTCCATAGTGTTTTGTTCCAGTGTGGGGACTGAACATTTGAAAAAGCTCTGATTGTTTTAAAATTCATAATTTGGATCATTATACTTTACCTTCTTAACTTTGCAATGACTCTGTTTACTTTTATTTTTGGTACTGGGGATTGAAATCAGGGGTGCTTCACTATTGAGCCACATTCCCAGCTTTTCATTTTGAGACACGGTCTAGGTAAGCTGCTAAGTTGCTGAGGCTGGCTTTTGAACTTGTGATCCTTCTGCCTCAGTCTCCGGTGCTGCTGGGATTAAAGGTGTTTACCACCATGCCCAGCTGTAATGATTTTTAGAAAATAAAGTGTTCCTTCACCAGGTGAAAGCCAAATCCTGGTCATTCATTAGACCATGTTCATAAACCGATGCTTCATTCCAGCATCTCGAGAGAATCCAAATAGGCATTGGATTATTTCCTGGTATCTTTTTGAACCCAGGGCATCCTGCTTTTGAGGTATAAGCAATACCACCCCCATCCTTCTTAAGTTTCTTTAATTACTGATTACTCTTTATGTGTATGTCATACTGCAAGCAGAAGATAGAAGGTGTTTTTCTGTTTGTACTTGCTGTAAATTGGGGAATGTTTGTACTAGCCCAAGTCTGAGAACTCACCACATGTCAGGCAGAGTGTTATGTACATGTATTATCTCATTTAACTCCATTTCACTGTTGAGAAAACTGAGGTGCAGAAAACTTAAGTAACCTACTGGTGATCATCTAGCCAGGCAGTGGTAGTTCTCATTCAAACTCAGTTCTATAGCCTCAGGATTTAATGTCTACACAATTTTGTCCCAGGTCATTTATTTGCTGATTGGATCCTAGGTGCCAGCATGAGCAATTTGCTGTTATTCACAATTTCCAGGAATAAACCACTGGTGGATGAAGGGGGAACTGCCACAGGGGCCACTGACATTGCCTGCAGCCTTCGAATTGTTACTGCTGTGATAAGGGGCAGCTGGAGGGATCAGGGATGAAGCTCAGTGGTAGGGTGCCCTGAGTTCAATTCCTGCATTAAAAAAAAAAAAAATCCCAGTGGCTTGGGGCCTAAGGTAGGAGATTTGTGAGTTCAAAGCCAAACTCAGCAACTTAGTGAGGCCCTAAGCAAGTTAGCAAGGCCCTAAGCAACTCAGCAAGACCTGTCTCTAAATAAAATATAAAGAAAGTGCTGGGGATGAGACTCAGTGGTTGAATGCCCCAGAGTTCAATCTGTGGTACAAACAAATGAATAAATAAAATAAAATAAAATGATGGGTAGTTGGAAAGTGGGTGTGGGTTGCACAACTCCATGAGTTCTTAGCTTTTGGTTTTTAGGCTTTGGCAGTTTCTCTACACTTTGTAGGAACTGCCTTGGGTGTCCCATGGTTATCAAAATAATGTTTAATTTACAAACAGGATATGTTTCAAAAGGTTGGTTGAAAATTGTCTTTTTAGAACTGAGAAACATTGTCCCAGAGAAACAGTTCTTAGTTGAGTTTCCAGGTCATTTTGCAAAAGTTGCTCAAATGGGATTTTTTTTCTTTTTTTTAAAAACGAAGCAATTTTGAATTTCAGGTTTAAGAAACAGTTACCTAGGAAAGCAAAAAGAAGCTCTTTCCTCTCTCCTTTATGGAGGGTGTTTTTGAAATAGTTGAGAATTCTTTGCATTTTTCTACCGCTTTTTCTACTCTGGGGACCCAAGTCCCCCAATCTCCTGACTGCCCTGAGGACTCCCAGCCCTTCACCTTAATCCCTTCCCTCCCACCTGAAATTTTTCTTTTTCTGCATGGATACTTCCATCTCCAAAGTTAGAACATTTATTTCTTAATTCAGGAGAAACAATCTGATTGAATTATCTGAATATGTAACTATTTCTCTGCCCTCAGCCTTGGAGACATTTGCATTTTAATAAGAAAATCTTGATGAATTTGTATTTCTTCTAAGTGATATAAAAACATCCAAACAGAACAGGAGATGATTCAACACTCAAGCCAAACAACTTTTTGAGAGTTGTATGTGAATTAGGCACTTATACAAGGATGAATGGAGATGTTTGTCAAGGTGAACTTTTTGGTGTCCCTTAGGAGAAATTTTGTGCATTGAAGACATTACTTATGGCCAATTTGTTTTAATATTAGAATCCAGTATATGAAAGCAAAACATTCAATAGCTTATTTTAAAAAAAATATTTTTTAGTTGTATTTGGACACAATATCTTTATTTTATTTATTTATTCTTTTTAATGTGGTGCTAAGGATCAAACCTAGTGCCTCACTCATTCGAGGCAAGTGCTCAACCAGTAGCTACAACCCCAGCCCCTTGTGTTTTCTTTTAAAGCTCTGAAGTTTAATGTATGTATGCCCTCTCAAGATAAATTTTGCTCTTCATTTGTTCATTGCTATATTCTTAGCACCCAGAATTGTGCCCAACACATAGCAGACAATAAATACATGAATGAAAAAGTTAATAAATCCTAGTTTACATATAAATCTAGCAATTTCAACAGTCACTTTCAAGGGAACCATTAACTAATGTCTCTTTAACTCAAAGCCGAATGGATCAACCTCCCTGAATCAAGCAATTTTAGCTACAAACTTAGTTAAAAAGTTTCTTTAAATATTGTACATTAATTATTTTTCTCATTTTATTCTTTTAAAGCTCTTCAGGTCTCTCTTTACAGAAAAAAAACCTTTCCATATACTTAAATCACTCCATGTAAATCTAATGAATTAAATTTCTCAAAGTAATGATTCTTAAGTTCTATTAAACATTCCAATGCCCTTTGTACCTTTTGAATTAGTGTCAGGAATCTAAAATTAATTGCCTATTTAAATTCATATCAGAGGTTAACTTGTTAGATACCTTAATAAACTACATTTTCTTTTTTTAAAAATATATATATATATATTTTAGTTGTCAATGGACCTTTATTCTTATTTATTTATATGCAGTGCTGAGAATTGAACCGAGTACCTCACACATGCTAGGCAGGCGTTCTACCACTAAGCTACCACCCCAGCCCCTACATTTTCTTATAACTTACAAACATCTTAAGTACCAGATATTCACAGATTGTCCCAATGATTTCAAAAGCTATTTTTGAACATATTATGAACACATTAATAATCCAGATTTGATTTAATTAATCTCTGTACTCCATTCTAAAATTTCTTTGAGTCAAAAACATTAACCTTCTACTGAAAAATTTGAGTGTCACAAGCAAGATAGAATGACCATTTCAGCAAACAGTGGCTGCAAATCTATCTGTATTTTGGTCAAGAAAGGAGATGGATTTTCCCTGAGACGCTGGCTAACACATCAAGTCCCTTTTAAAGAGCCATTGTAATAAAATAAATCCAAAATTCATAGCTTTTATGCATAGACCTCTTCTGGGTTCTAGATAGGCCATTTAACTATTTTTTTTCCTCCTGATCTGAGTAAATTGAATCCCACACTTCCTTTGAAGATGGTAGCTAATTTTCCTCATGGATTAATTGGATTTTACATTCTTCAAACTCTCTTGGGACTTTTTTTTGTTTTTGCCTTTGACTTTAAAATTGCTTTACTGCTGCTGTGTTGGATTAGTCCACCCTTACGTAATTCTTCTAATAATTCTAGCCTCTTTCAACTTTATCACTAAACTTTGGTAATCAGAATTCTGTATTTTTTCCCCCTGATTTTTTCCTGTCTGGAGAAGTATAACTTTTTGCAGATGTTAAAATGACATCTAATGAGAA